ATAATCCCAGCAACTCAAGAGGCTGAGGCAGAAGAATTGCAAATTAGAGGCCAGCCTCTGCAATGTAGCAAGACCCTCAGCAATTTAACAAGACCCTGTCTCAAAAATGAAAAATAAAATAAAAATTTGCTGTCTTGGGCAAGGAATTTTCTTTATATAAGCTTCCTCATCAGTTAAATGGGCAACAACTCCTTTACAGGACTATCTGAATGTAACAAGCTAAGCCTGTAAGACACCTATCTCACTGTCCCAAAAAACATCACCCAGAACACCTTGTTTTATGTTAGATACTGCAAGCTCCACATAAGCTATCTCATTTAACCCTCCCTCACAGCACCTGCCTATAAATACTACCCAGAAAAAGGCAGTATTTATTCCCATTTGGTACCTGCATAAAACCAAAGTGAGATGTGTAAATATCTTGTCTTAGATCATGAAGTGAGGAAATGGTAAAACCTTGAGCCTTAAGTGTATGTTACAAATGCATTTAACTCAGGGTTGATTGGTCTCTGGCTGAAAAAATAGTTATAAAAGACATTTTTCAGATATTTCAGGCTGAGTGTTAAAGACATCAGGGAATAATTCTTAAATTTTCTAAAGTATGATAATGGTACTGCAGTTTCACAGGAAAGTATTCTTATCTTTTTGAGAAGTAGGCTCAGGTATTTAGTTGTAAGAGTCTTCATGCCTGCAATATTTTTGAAATAGGTTCAGTTAAAAAAAAATTAAGCCTGTTTTTAAAATATTTTTTAATGGAAAATCTTCCGGCAATAGACAAAAATATAAGTGATGGTTAAGCTACAAATTCATTCCCAGCAAGAAGTAGGTTACAGAGAAGAGATCATGAGAAGAACAAAAAAACTGAACAGCAGCCCCATGTCTCCCGAGTTAGATCTTATTTCATGAGGCTTGCTTTATTTTTTTTGTCTGTGAATTTTCAAGCCATTTGTAGCCATGATCAAATTCCTTAGACACATGGGGGGGGGGGGGGGAGATACAGACAACCAATAGTGGTAGTGCACATCTATAATTCCAGCTACAGCAAGGGTGAAACAGGAGGATCACAAATTCGAGTCATGCCTGGGCAAACTATAAAGAACTTGCCTCAAATTAAAAAAATAATAAATATAAAGGGTTAGAGATGTAGCTCAGTAGTACAGCACTTGCCTACCATGCAGGAAGCCAGGGTTCACTCCCTACTACCACCAAAAACCAAAAACAAACAAACAAAACAAAACCCAGACAAAATTGCGTGGTTTTCAATTTTCCCCCACAACTATGTACAAAAGACCACTTTTCAAAAAGGTTGTTGATGTTCTTTAAGTTTTTAAAATTTTTTTGCCAAGGTGCTAGGAATCAAACCCAAGGCCTGGAACATGTAATCAAGAGCTCTACCACTGAGCCACTTTCCCATTCCGACTTTTAAAATTATCTTTAAAAAATGTGAAAATGTAGGGCTGGCATTGTGGCTCAGTGGTAGAGTGCTTGCCTAGCATGCGTGAGACACTGGGTTCGATCCTCAGCACCACATAGAAATAAAATAAAGATACTATGTCCACCTAAAAATTTAAAAAAATTTTAAAAAGTGAAAATGTAAACCTTAAGATGCATCTCAGTGGGACTGGAAATGCAGCTCATTGGTAGAGCACTTGCCTAGCATGCCACAGGCCCCAGCACCACAACATTAACATAAGCATTCTATCTGGAGTGAGATCAAAGAAGAATGAATGATCAGTGTATTTTCTACATGGAACCATCGTCCACAATCTTTTGGGATCATCTTCAACAAATGCAAACATGCTTTCCTGAATTACCGTATCTGTAAAAGAGGAGTTTTAAATTGACATGAAAAAGAACACTGGACTGGGAGTGGTGGAGCGTGCCTATAACCCCAGCTACTAAAATATCCAAAGCAGGATGGAAAAACAAAAGTAAGAAGTGCTGGGGGGATGTAGCTTGGTGATGGAGTGCCCCTAGGTTCAATCCTCAGTAACACATACATACAAAACAAAACAAAAAAGATCAAACAAAACAATATTATTAAAAATCAAAGCACGATTTTGGTTTTTTGTATTGATGCTAGATATATTTAAACTTCTGGACCATTCAATTTTTCAAAAAGTCTCTTTTATCTAAGGTACATGTATCTCCCCAAGTCTCCAGTTTGATGTCACTAATTCTCCTTATAAGTAACATATCCTGTCTACAAAAACCCGTTAGAAAACAAAAGATCAAAATTCACTTGGAGGAAGGTTGGGATTGTGGCTCAGTGGAACAGTGCTTGCCTAGCATGCATGAGGCACTGGGTTTGATCCTCAGCACCACATAAAAATAAAGATATTGTGTCCACCTAAAAGTTAAAAAAAAAAATCAATACTAAAAAATTTTAAAAAAAATTCACATAGAGGAGGGGGTAAATAAATCTAGCAAAAACCTAGGCTAATATGGTTACCATATCAAGCAATAATTTAAGCTCTGAACTTTCCAGACAGTGTGGCTTAAAAAAAAAAAAAAGCAATAACAATAAAGCAATTATGGCAAGCTCTATAACTCAGAAGGAGAAATCTTCCTGGCAGTAGGGTTTAAAAGGAATTTTTCAGATGGGTCATTACATAAGAACACTAAACAATATAATGGACAGTGACTACAATGGCAGTTTACTGCCCATGCGGCTGCTTTCTTCCCAGGCATTTAATATCTCATGCCAAGGGCATCACATTAAATGCAAACCCCAGAAGGCCATTTTTGCAGTGGTGAAGGCGCCAGGGCTTTCTGATTCTAACTGAAACCAGAACCTGTCCTCAAATGTCCACTGTTGCCACTGGGTTTTTCACAGCAGTGGAGCAGTGGATGAAAACCTGGAAAGGGAGAGATTTCCTTATTGCTGTGATCCCACCTTTTGCTTTGGATAGCAGATGGGGAAGGATGCAAGGCTGACATGCTGTTGTGAAAAGGAACAGACCAGGCTTGTATGGCTCCGAGGGATGGAGTCAAGGAACTTAATGCAGAATGGTCAAACCTCTCCAAGACCCCAAGGCCTGAGCATGTGGACAGTTTCTCACTACTCCTACTGTTATTCATGTATGCAGGCACAAATGAGGACCAGAAAAGTACCTGTTTATTGGCCAAGTTCAAAAAGGGACAAGGCCTCTATATTTCAGTACTAAAAGCACAACTTTTTTTTGTCACTTTACTATTTCAAGAAAGATATATGAAGGCAAAGCAAAATGCCAAAACAGAAATACCGGCAGGTACAGTGAAGCCACCCTGTTCTGCACACCAGGCAGGATCCTCTCCAGTGACTGGTGTCCAGCAGATCAAGAGTTACTACAGTTTAAGTTCCCTGGGGACTCACAGGAAGGAAATTCCCATTCCCAAACACCAGCCCCCCACCCACCTGCCCAGCCAGGCAAGACACCAAAGGATAAAGGGGCACTTAAAAAGAAGTGAGATTTCTTAGAACACAGCATTCTGTCACCTGCTGCAAGACCTTCAAGTCTCCCAGTCGCCCAGCCCTGAGTCACTTCCCCTCCCTGCACGTCTGGGTCTCAATGCTCACAGAGGAGGGGGTGGCGGTGTAGAGCGGGGAGACCCAGGGCCTCTAGAGCTCACGGCCCGCAGTCCCTACTCCCAGGCGTGGACCGGTGGAAAGTGTCCCTCTGGGATGCGCCCCTGCGACTGCCGACAGGCTCTTAGCACCCAAGCCGGCGCCGAGGCTACCTTAGCTAATGGCAGCTCTGAATGAAAGGAGCCGAGGCAGGCTCCGGATTTATGAATGTGCAAGGGAGGAGGGATGTCATGTGACAATAAAGGAGAGCGTCTTATTCACAAAAAATGAAAAAAAGTGGATGGTAGCGGGCACAGCCACTGAGAAGCGACAGCGGCTGCCGTGTGGTGACCGCTGGGACCCCTGGCCCAAGACTCAAGGCGCGGGGCCCAGCCGCCCCGCCCCCGTCGCACTCCAGAGGGGAAACGCCTCCGGCCAGGCAGAGAAAAGCCGATCCCGACCCCGCCACCGCGAGGCAGGATGGAGCTGCACCTGGGCCCAGGGATGGAGACAGGCACTGGTCCCGCGCGGGGAGGCTCGGGAGCCCCTTCGGCGCAGTGCCCGGAGCATTGTTCCCTTCGAGCTCGCGGGCCGGGCACACGCGCGCGCACGCTAGCGAATGAACACACACACACACACACACACACACACACACACACACACACACTCTTTCTCTCTCTCCACCACCCGAGCTCGCTGCCCCGCACACTCTCGCCCGCCCCGGCCGCTCGCGCTCCGGATCCGCCCCTCCAGCTACCCCGACCCTGCGGGGCTCGCGTGCCGTCCCACAGGCGCGTGCACACGCGCGCGCACACACACACAGACACACACACAGACACACACAAGCAAGCAAGCGCGCCGCGGGACCCTTCGGGCGGCTCCAGTGTACCAGCTCGTGCACGGACCCCAGCGCACCAGACCTCCGCGCGGCCCGCGCCCGTCCTCCCCGTGCTCCACGGTGTTTTTTATGAATGAAAATGTGGTATGCAAATGAGAGCGATTCAAGAAAACGAAATGGCGGAGCCTGGGCCCCAGTGGGCTAGCAAGGGGACGCGGGGCCAGCGGCAGAGCGCGAGTCACAAAGTCACCACGTAAAAACCTATCGACCCCGGGAAGCCTGAGTGGGGGTGTCAAATCTTCAGCTCCGGCCGCCACGAATGGAGAGAGGTCCCTGGAGAGGGAGCGGGGACCGCCCCGAGGTCACCCGCGCGCCCTTGGCCCCCGCAGCAGCCACCAGCCTGCCGACCCTAAGCATGCCCCTGCCTGCCCGCGACAGTTTTTGCCCCCTTCTTCGATTCAACAAGGAGAGAAATCTCGCGCCCCAATCCTAACAGGTCAGCGAGTTGCTGCATCCCACGCCAAGTTCACCCAACGAGTCCCCGCCGGCGTCCTCAGCCCCGGCCCCCATGCTGTCCCGTGGGGCACCCTCCTCCCACCCTACGACCGAACTTACTCGTCCGGGTGTGTTTCTTCGGTCATTTTCTTGTTCACCTAGACGCCTGTCCCGCGGCGGGCAGCTTTGCTCCCTTCATCTTCCTGTCCGCTCACCCCCCCTTCTTCACATCTCCGGAGATCGCCTGATTTGGGGAGGGGGGGCGGCTAGAGATGAGGGGGGCGCTGGAGGCAGAAGGGGAAGCAGGGCGACCCGAGCGCGGGGTGAGGTTTGGGGAAGGGGCGCACCAGCCAGCGGCCGGGGGAGTGAGCGCCGCAGCGCCGCGGGGCTAGGCGGGCGGAGGTCGGGGACTCTGAGCGGGCGGAGGGCGAGATTTGGGCAGGGGACCGCGGTGGGGAAGAGCAGAAGAAAAACAAGCGCGCCTCGGGGACTGCTCGCAGCAGGAAAGGTCCAGCGGCGGGTGGGGGCTGGGTACGGGGTCGCCCCCGGGGGGCCGGGCCAATCACGGTTCCGGGGAGCGGTCGGCGGCCGGGGGAGGTGCGCCTGAGAGGCGGTGCAGGGCGCCCCGTCCGAGCCCCATCTCTCGACTCCACCGATTTACTCCATATTGGATTCTCACCGCCGCCAACAGGAGGAGGAAGTAGGGCGGAAGCGATGACGTCTTCCCAGCGGCCAGAGGTGGTGGAGTGCAAAAAGCTTCCTACTTGCGACCGAAAAAAAAAAAAGAGAGAGAGAGGGAGAGAAAAAAAAACTTTGTCCCGCCTACTGAGCATGCCCAGCTTCTTTACCCCCTCCCTCCTGGCTTCCAGTCCCCAAGGAGCCGCGGAGCGGAGTTGTTTGCGCCGCGTCTGTCTGGCTCCGAATCCTCCTCGATTAAGACTCCGGGTTTTAGGAAGCCCAAGAGGATGAAGGAGGCGGGAGCTGGGGACTCGAACACATCTGGCTCCCGTTTTGTCCCTTCCTTCTTTCCAAACCCTAGGACTGAAAATCGAGGCGGGGGGGGGGGGGGGCGCCTGGGGGCGAAGATGGGAAAGCTCAAGGGAGGGAATGGAGTTAAGCGGCTGGAGGGGTGGTGGTGCTCGGAGGAACCACTACCCTCACCGGGAGGGCGGGGACGGCGCAGGTGGCAGCGGCTGGCCTCGCCACCCCAACCCAACCAGAAAGAGTGGGAAGTAAGACTTTGCCAAGGTTCTGATGGCAGAGGCTTTTCCGTCTCACGCAAGTCTTAATTTTTTTTTGTCTTGATAGATGAGCGGGCATTTTAAAGGAGTCGTTATTTGTACATAGAAAAATAAAGGATAAGCCCCCCAAATGCCCCAGAAACGTTTGTGTTTTTGTAGAAATGATAGAGTTAAAAGGTAATCCCAAATATATTTCTGAAACTATCTAGCGAATCTCTCTGCTGATGAAGGATGGATTTTGTTTCAGGCCCTTGAAGACCAGTTACCGAGCCAGAGGTTGCCAGCCCTATGGACTTTGGCACAGAGAGGTGAGGAGCTCATCAACTCCCCACCCCATCCCACCACACCCCCAGTTTTATTTTTCCTGTCTTGGCTTGGTACCTGCTGGAGGTTTTCTGGGTGGGCCCAGGCTCTACAAAGCATAAGGGCAACGTCCAGGACTAGCGTCCTGGGTATGCAGCTGGTATAGTTGTAGGGGATCTGTGCTTAGTTTCATGCTCTGTTGTTGCAATCTTGAAATCCTTTATAAACCAGGATGCAGTGGCCCACGCCTGTGATCACAGCTGCTCTGGAGGCTGAGGCAGAAGGCAGGCAAGTTCAAGGCCAGCCATAGCAACTAAGGGAGACTCTGCTTCAAGATAAAAATAAAAGCTGGGTGTGGTGGCCAGGCCTGTAATTCCAGCGGCTGGGGAGGCTGAGATAGGAGGATTGTGAGTTCAAAGCCAGCCTCAGCAACAATGAGGCCTAAGCAACTCAGTGAGACCCTGTCTCTAAATAAAATACAAAATAAGGATGAGGATGTAGTTCAGTGGTAGCTTGCATGAGGTCCTGGGTTCCATCCCCAGTAACATTAAAAAAAAAAAAAAAATGTGTGTATGGTTTTTTTGTTTTGTTTTTTGTACTGGGGAGTGAACTCAGGGGTGCTCTAGCACTGAATTACAGCCCCCAACTTTTTTTTTTTTTTTTGAGACAGGGCCCAAGTTCCTGAAGCTGGCCTCAGACTTGTGATCTTCCCTCCTCAGCCTCCTGGGTTGCTGGGATTACAGTTGTTTACTGTGCCTGGACTCCTTTATACTTTTTTAACAAGGGGACTCTGCATTTTCACTTTGCACTGGATCCCACACATTACATAATTATTGAGTATTTCTGGGATCTTGCCATGGAGCAAGAGACCTACTCCCTGTCCCTTTCTGCTCCACAGCACAGTAGAATTTTCTGTACTTGTGAATGTGCCATAAGACAATTCACAGAGATTTTAGCAAAACAGTAACTATTAAACTAGAAGATAAGCATGTGCCTCAAATATGGAATACCTAAAAGGTATATACATATGGAAAGCCATATGTGCTCTAAAGATAGTAAATTTCACCTTGAGTCAGGAGAAACTGCTGGCTTACCCTAGACTTCCTGCTTATCACATCCATGATCTCTGTGTACAAAGACTGAGGTTCAACTCCTTTGATGCTGGGTTCCGGTGATGTGTAGTGGTGAGAAGGGCAGTAGACTGGGTGGAACACCTGGGTTCTGGTTTTCTCCTGGCCCACCTGAGACCCTGAGTGAGGCTTTTATCAAGTCTTCAGTTTCACAAGGATAACAAAGCCAACAGTGTTTTTCTCAGTTTTTCAGGCCATAAAGAATCTTAAGCCAGGGCTGGTGGTGCTTGCCTGTAATACCAACTACTTGGGAGACTAAGGCAGGAGGATCGCCAAGTTTGAGGTCAGCCTGGAAAAGTTAGTGAGCTCTGTCTCAAAATAAAAAGGGCTGAGGATGTAGCTCAGCATTAGAGAGCACCCCTGGGTTTAATTCTCCTCCACAAAAAAAAAAAAAAAAAAAAAAAAGTCAAAGAGAAAGCACTACCTATACAAAGGCAAGTGTCCTCTAAATTCCATAACTACCCAGTTCTCACCTTTCACTTTTGATGCTCTTCTCCCTGGGTATATTGAAAGAGATCCTACTCTCAGTCATTCCTGAACTTCTAGGAACACAGGCATTTATTCACACCAAAATTACCTACTCAATGGGCATCTCTCTGGCTCTACCCTCTAGTTTCAGAGTACACAGTACAGCACCATGGCAGTTGTGGTGATTATTAGTTTCTGCAGGTTGGCAAGCTCTGAGGAGCTTGGATGGGTTTTACCCCTACTCACTCAGCCAGCTGTTGCAACTAGTGAAGGACTGGTACAGCCCATGGGCTAGGCAGCCAGGGGGACAATGGAAAAAAATCATTCTGAAGTCCAGGAGTCACGAAGTCCCTACTGAGATCTCTTTGGTGCCAGACTCAATCTGGAGCATCTTGGGAAGGTCTTAGATTCTTTTTGGCCTTGGGTTCAGTGTCTTTTGTATCAGTATAATATCCCCAATGTAGAGTTGCTGGAAGATGAAATGGGCTATACAGTTAAGGTACCGTAGATAAGAGATTCAATTGCCAGATACGGTGGCACACATCTGTAATCCCAGCGGTTCAGGAAGCTGAGACAGGAGGATCACAAGTTCAAAGCCACCCTCAGCAATTTAGCAAGGCCCTAAGCAACTAAGTAAGACTCTGTCTCTAAATAAACATAAGAGGGGCTGGGGTTGTGGCTCAGCATAGAGTAATTGCCTAGCACTGGCAAAGCCCTGGGTTCAATCCTCAGCACCACATAAAAATAATAAGTAAAATAAAGGTATTGTATTCAACTACAACTAAAAAAAATAAATATTTTTTAAATAAATAAATATAAGAAAGTGCTGGGATGGGCTGGGGATGTGGCTCAAGCGGTAGCGCGCTCGCCTGGCATGCGTGCGGCCCGGGTTCGATCCTCAGCACCACATACAAACAAAGATGTTGTGTCCACTGAAAACTGAAAAATAAATATTAAAAAAAAAAGAAAGTGCTGGGGATGTGGCTCAGTTGTTAAGTGTCCCTGGGTTCAATTCCTGGTACAGAAAAAAAAAAAAAAATCCTGACAACTTTTCCTGCTCTTCAGTTGATTCTTCGTTCTTCTTATTCCCTTTATTTCCCCCCAACAGGGATGGAACCCAAAATCTTGCACTTGCTAGGCAAAGTGCTCTCTCACCGTTTTAGACCCCAGCCTCTTTTTGTTCCCTGAAATAAAGCCTTACAAGCCAGGTGTTGTGGTCCACACCTGTAATCCCAGCTACTCAGGAGGCTGAGACAGGAGAATCCAGAGTTCCAAACCGGCCTCAGCAATTAAGCAAGGCACTTAGCAACCCAGAGAGACCCTGTTTCTAAAAAAAATAAAAGGGCTGAGGAAGTGGCTCAGTGGTTAAGCGCCCCTGGGTTCAATCCCCAGTACCAAAAATATAATAAGTAAATAAATAAAGTCTTAACAGCTGGGCGCAGTGAAGCACACCAGGTTGAGGCAGGATTGGAGGTTCAAAAAAATTTAGTGAAGCCCTTTCTCAAAAAATAAAAAGGGCAAGGGCTGGGGATGTACCTCAGTGATTTAAGCACTTCTAGATTCAATCCCTAGTATCCAATAAAGAAAGTAAGCCTTCTTGTTCTTTTCTGCTTTGCTCGTCACTGTCACTTAGAGGGGTCTTTTGATAGAAACCATGCTAGCAGATCGCCGCTTGTCCTGCCCATCAGTTGTTAACTGTGGTTGAGGCGAATCTGATTTCTGCATCTTCAGAGAATATATGAGGATACTGGATGAATTAACTCGGATACGTTTATTGAATTGAATATCAGAGTTTTGGCAAAGTCCACTCCACTGGATCGTAACTGGGAAAAGGGAACAGCACAGATTAAGACTTTAAAAGACGCCTCTGAAACGAGTTAAGGACCTGTATCCCTCCTTCTCCCTCCCCACATCCAGCAAAACAGGGAGCAGTCAGCTCTGCACACGATCTAATCCAGAGGGTGGACTCAGAGTAAGACGGTAAAGCTCCAAATGTGCTATGGAACGGCTCAGAACTTCAACGCAAACCCAGCGGAGCACCCAGCAGGACCCCACCTACCGGCCTCGCAAGTCCGAGTGCCGGGCGGGGGAAGCACCCACAGGAGCGTCCTTCCCGCGGGCGGCCGGGAAAGCCCGGAGCTCGGAGCCAGAGCAACCCTCGGCGGCGGCGGGACGGGCATGCTCAGTAGCCCCGCAGGTCCTGTTGCTCTCGGAAGCGGGCCGCGGCCCCCGCCCCCTCCCGGCCCGCACGGGCGCTGGGAGAAGCGGACATTTTAGCTTCCTGTGCAGTCCGCTTTCTCGTTGGTGTCCTTCGCCCCTTCTCGGCCGCCGGGGTCGGGCAGAGCTGGGTGTGTAGGTGTCCCCAGCCGGGGAGTGGGGGTGGGATCTGACAAACCACTCGCGCTACCCCCAGGGGAGGGGAGGGGGCGATTCCGGCCGGACGCCGCGAGGCCTGCGACGTGTGCTGTCTTGCCAACAGCAGCCGCCCGCCGCCGCTGCACCCAGCTCCCGGCCCCGCGAGGCGCGCGCAGCTGCGCCAGGGCCTGTCCTCGCCTCACCCCCACTCTGCCCCTTCGGTATTTCTCAATGACCGCCGCTGCGAGGACAC